GAGAGGTGGTCCAGGCCGTTTCGCTTGAGACATCCTCGAAACTCTGAGCCCCGAGGTGCCGTGCGAGAGGTGGTCCGGGCCGTTTCACCTGAGACATCCTCGAAACTCTGAGCTCTGAGAGGCCCTGCGCGAGGTGGTCTGGCCCGTTTCGCCTGAGATATCCTCGAAACTCTGACCTCGGAGATGCCGCGCGAGAGGTGGTCCGGCCCGTTTCGTCTGAGACATCCTCGAACTTCTGAGCTCTGAGATGCACTGCGCGAGGTGGTCCGGCCCGTCTCGCCTGAGACATCCTCGCAACTCTGAGCTCTGAGATGCCGTGCGCAAGGTGGTCCAGCCTGTTTCGCACAAGACATTCTCGCAACTCTGAGCTCCCAGATGCCGCGCAAGAGGTGGTCCAGCCTGGGGGCCCAGGAGACCACATGTTACATATCCTCCCTGGGACCCTGGGAGCCCGCCTGAGACATCCTCGAACTTCTGAGCTCTGAGATGCCCTGCGCGAGGTGGTCCGGCCCGTCTCGCCTGAGACATCCTCGCAACTCTGAGCTCTGAGATGCCGTGCGCAAGGTGGTCCGGCCTGTTTCGCACAAGACAGTCTCGCAACTCTGAGCTCCCAGATGCCGCGCAAGAGGTGTTCCAGCCTGGGGGCCCAGAAGACCACATGTTACATATCCTCCCTGGGACCCTGGGAGCCCCAGGAGGCCCAAGAGAGCTCCAGGAGGCCGCAGGACGCCCAGGACAGGCCCCAGGGGTCCCCAGGAGATTCCCAGGAGGCTCCCAGGAGGCCCCAGGAGGCCCCCTATCAGAACGTGTCAAGTTAATACACATCCGGTGCCGATTCGTTGATTTTTCCTGCTCTTGTGCCCCGCCCTTCATTTTGAGGGGCCCAAGCGGCCACAGGTTAGACATCCCCCCTGGGAGCCCCAAGAGGCTTCAGGAAACCCCAGGTGGAGTTCAGGAGGCCACAGGAGGCCCAGGAGGAAGCCCCAGGAGGTCCCCAGGAGGCGCCAGGAGGCACCAGGAGGCCCCCGCAACTCGGAGCTCTGAGACGCCGCGCTCGAGGTGGTCCGGCCCGTTTCGCCTGAGACTTCCTCGCGGCACATTTCGCCCGAGACACCGGCCCGTCTCGCCTGAGACATCCTTGCAACTCTGAGCTCTGAGATGCCGTGCGCAAGTTGGTCCGGCCCGTTTCGCACAAGACATTCTCGCAACTCTGAGCTCCCAGATGCCGCGCAAGAGGTGGTCCAGCCTGGGGGCCCAGAAGACCACATGTTACATATCCCCCCTGAGACCCTGGGAGCCCCAGGAGGCCCCAGAGAGCTTCAGGAAGCCGCAGCCCCCTATCAGAACGTGTCAAATTAATACAAATCCGGTGTCGATTCGTTGATTTTTCCTGCTCTTGTGGCCCCCCCCCATTTTGGGAGGGCCCGACGGCCACATGTTAGATATCCCCCCCTGGGAGCCCCAAGAGGCTTCAGGAAGCCCCAGGTGGGGTCCAGGAGGCCACAGGAAGCCAAGGAGGAAGCCCCAGGAGGTCACCAGGAGGCCCCAGGAGGCCCCCGCAACTCGGAGCTCTGAGACGCCGCGCTCGAGGTGGTCCGGCCCGTTTCGCCTGAGACTTCCTCGCAGCACGTTTCGCCCGAGACATCGTCTCAACTCTGGGGTCCGAAATGCCGCGCGCGAGGTGGTCCAGCCCGTCACGTTGGAGACATCCTCGCAACTCTGGACTCCGAGATGCCCTGCGCGAGGTGGTCCGGCCCGTCTCGCCTGAGACATCCTCGCAACTCTGAGCTCTGAGATGCCGTGCGCAAGGTGGTCCGGCCCGTTTCGCACAAGACATTCTCGCAACTCTGAGCTCTCAGATGCTGCGCAAGAGGTGGTCCAGCCTGGGGCCAGGAGGCTCCCAGGAGGCCCCAGGAGGCCCCCTATCAGAACGTGTCAAGTTAGTATACATCCGGTGCCGATTAGTTGATTTTTCCTGCTCGTGTGCCCCCTTTTGGGGGGCCCCGACGGCCACATTTTAGATATCCCCCCTTGGAGCCCCAAGAGGCTTCAGGAAGCCCCAGGTGGGGTCCAGGAGGCCACAGGAGGCCCAGGAGGAAGCCCCAGGAAGTCCCCAGGAGGCGCCAGGAGGCACCAGGAGGCCCCCGCAACTCGGAGCTCTGAGACGCCGCGCTCGAGGTGGTCCGGCCCGTTTCGCCTGAGACTTCCTCGCAGCACGTTTCGCCCGAGACATCGTGGCAACTCTGGGGTCCGAAATGCCGCGCGCGAGGTGGTCCAGCCCGTTACGCTGGAGACATCCTTGCAACTCTGGGCTCCGAGATGCCGTTCGGGATGAAGAGGAGGTGGAGGAGGAGGTGGAGGAGGAGGAGGAGGAGGAGGAGGAGGAGGCATGTTTTAACATGCCATACACGCAATCGACCTTGAAAACCGCGGTGGGTCTAAAAACCCTGTTTGGGGATACTGCACTCCGGCTATAATCTCACGCAAGCATCGCCCTGCCGTTCGCAGAACTTTCGCGCTGCACGTGGGTCACACAATCAGCGCATGCGGAGATGCAGTGGTAAGATAAGGTGCTCTCTATTAGTAAATCAGAAAAGGAATCTGACGATCAGTGCGGGATAGAGAGTGACAGTGCCTGAGGGAGGACCGCGCAGAACCTCACCTGAAAAAGGTTGGAAGTTCGAACATGCCAAGTGGCGGAGTTCTCGAAATTACCATATGTTCCTAACGAGTTGGAGCATCGCATGCAGAAAGGTGGATTTTCAGCTGCTAGTGCGCCAGGGCCCGAGATGCCACTGTGCCACTGCGACGTGTTCATCCCCACCACAATAAACTGGCAGCTCTGTCGTAGCATCCGAGACCTGGCGTGAGACGTCGGCAAGGAGCGGGCACCTAAAGACCCGTACAGCACGCTCTTGCTGCGAGCCTGAGCGTGGAGAAACGCAGCGTCGACGCTCCTGCTGCGAGCCTGAGCGTGGAGGAAGGAGCTGTTTGTATGGAGAAGGGATGGGCGAGGAGGGGGGGGAGGGGGGAGGAGGAGGAGGAGGAGGAGGAGTTGAGGAGGAGGAGGAGGAGGAGGAGGAGGAGGAGGAGGAGCAGCAGGAGGACGAGGACGTCGCACGCAGAGCCGAGCACGGCGGGCGAAGAACGGGCGCTCCTTCGAGAAGTCGCCGAGTCCCGAGAACAAGGACGGGGTCCTGCAGCCTACACCCTGCGAAATGCTTAAGAAATCATGGGTTAAGAAATTCATAGTCTCAGAAATTGAATAAAACCCAGAACTTCTATCAACATCTTGGGATTTACATTGAAACGTTAAGAATAATCGAGACTCTGGCCGAAAACTTAGGTTTTCTTCAGCATCGCCTAAGGTGTAAGGTCTCAAGGCGTGCAAACATGCCGACCCAATAAAAAGCATCCTGGCGTAAAATCCAACCACGTGCAGCTGTGAGTACCGCATTGTGGGTGCCAGCTTCGGTGGAGCTCCTTGCGGTGATACGAAGCGCATGAGGTGCCAACATGGGCGGGGAGACGCATGTTGTGGACTGTGCCACTGGGGCCTTCAGTGGAGCTCCCCGTGGGGCCACGAACCGTGTGAGGGGTGCGCCGAAACGGGTGCGGAACCGCATGTGGTCTGTGCCACTGAGGCCTTCGCGCCGACATGGGTGGGGAACTGCATGTGGACCCTGCCGCTGGAGCCTCTGGTGGAGCTCCCTGGGGGGCCACGAAACGTGTGATGGGTGTTCCGAAATGGGCGGAAAATGCATGTGGACACTGCCGCTGGTGCCTCTGGTAGAGCTCCCTGGGGGGGCACGAAGCGTGTGAGGGGTGTTCCGAAATGGGCGGAAAACGCATGTGGACCCTGCCACTGGGGCCTTTGGTGGAGCTCCCTGGGCCACGACTTCGGTGGGGCTCCCTATGAGGCCACGAAGCGTGTGATGGGTGTGCCGAAAGAGGCGGGGAACCGCATGCGAACTTTGCCATTGTGACCGTCGGCGCAGCTCCCTATGAGGCCACGAGACGTGTGAGGGGTGTGCCGAAATGGGAGGGGAACCGCATGCGGATTTTGCCACTGGGGCCTCCGGTGGAGCCCCCTATGAGCACGCGAAACGTCTGAAGGGTGTGCCAAAGTGAGCGGGGAACCGCATGTGGACCTTGCCACTGGGGCCTTCGGTGGAGCTCCCTTTGGGCCCGCGAAACGTGTGACGGGTGCGCTGAAATTGACGGGGAGCCACATGTGGACTGTGGCACTGAGACCTTCGGTGGGGCTCCCTGTGGGCCCGCGAAACGTATGAAGGGCGTGCCGAAATGGGAGGGAAACCGCATGTGGATTTTGCCACTGGGGCCTTCGGTGGAGCTGCGTATGGGGCCTCGAACTGTGTGAGGGATGTGCCGAAATGGGAGGAGAACCGCATGTGGACTTTGCCACTGGGGCCTTCGGTGGAGCTCCCTATGGGGCCTCGAACTGTGTGAGGGGTGTGCCGAATTTGGCGGGGAACTGCATGTGGTCTTTGGCCACTGGGGCCTTCGTTGGAGCTCCTCATGGAGCCACGAAGCGTGTGAGGGGTGTGCCGAACAGGTTGACATTCAGAGGACAGAGGCAAGAGATGGGAGGAGGGAGGGAGGAGGGGGAGAAGGAAGGAAGGAAGGAAGGAAGGAAGGAAGGAGACGCGCGGACTGTCCCTTCAACACGAGGGCCCAACTCCACAGGGTGCTTGGGAACAACAACAAAAAAAAGATGCGCTCATGTAATTTGGCCTCACGTGCGAGGGCACGTGCACCACGCGCCTCGCAGAGTGGCGAGCGCGTCTTCGCGCGCGCTGTATGCGCTCGGCTCACGAGGAGAAACTGATCGCGAGAAGTCGGAACTCGCGCGGATGCGGGGACTTGAGGCGGCGCCTGGCGGCGAGCTGGCCAACCCCGAGGTGCCCCCCTACATCGCGCGGCGTTTCGCGGCCACGCGCGCCCGCGGCGCCCTCGCCTCCCCTCCTCCCTCCAGCCATGGCCCTGCTCCCAAGTCGAAGCCAAACTCCTGCCAGCGGAGTTCAGTTCTGGCTACTCCAGCGGAACTCGAGGGATCAGCATCTGACGCGGCCTCAGCTGCCACGGGTTCCCCAGCCCTCCAGTCCACAGAGGAGAAGGAGAAAGGAGGAGGAAGCAAAGAAGAGCGGAAGTGCTCAAATCTCGCCTGAAAAGGTGGGCGGCCGCTTACCAAAGCTCAAGCGTCTACATGTCGCTGCTGAGGCCTGCGAGGCCGTTGATTGTCCCTCCTCGCCCGAGCCCTTGATAAGGTCGCAGCCCAGGGCGGCTGACAACCAGGCCACCCGCAAGCTCTCGCCCTCCTCAGCTCAGTGAGCGCGCAGGGAGGTGCCGCGGGTGCTCTCCGATTGCCGCCACGGGGGGGGACGCACACGTCCATGACGCGCCTCGCCACCAGAACAAAGCGCCCGTCGGGGTGCCGCACCACCAGGTGGGCCCGCCCGCGTGCCCCCCGCGCCTCCGCCTGCCGCGCCACCTCGTGCACGACCACGCTGTCTTTCCCCAGGGACAGGTCCGCAGCCTGGACCACCTCTCTCTGGCTTGGCAGCTGCACGGGCTGGTCCGCCGTCATCCCCAGCTGCGTCCTGTCGCCGAGGCCGCCGCCGACGCAGGGGACCTCTCCGAAGTCGGCCCGCTTCTCGAGCACCTCGACGTACCTGATCGACCGCCCCAGCGAGTCGTAGCACAGCACGCGCTGACCGCGCTCGAGGTCCCGCAGGGCGCAGGTGCTGGCACGGCCCTCGACCCACACGCCGGCGTCCAGCGGCAGGCAGAACGAGCACTGGTGCGTGGCCTCGTCGCGGGCCTCGGCCACGCACCACGCGGCGGCCGGGCCGAACCAGGCGGGCGCGCTCGGGGCGGCAGGCAGCATGCACTGCGAGCCCCCCGCGCACCGCGAGCCCCCCGCGAGCAGCACGCCGCCGCAGTCGGGGCGAACGTCGTCCAAGAGCTGCTGGAAGTACGACGAGCCTCCCATGTGGCTTCCTGGCTCCACGGCGACGTCCGTACGGTCCTGCAGGCATGCCGAAGAAAACTCTGCCTGGAAGCGCATCTCCTCATCTCTCAGGTACGACAGGTGAAGCAAGCGGGCCTGAATCTCAGAGCTCCGCTTCCCGGAGTACGCCACCAGCACAATCAAGGCGAAGAGGAGCAGATTGGTCGAGGCTAGTCTCATGTATGGACCGCCGAGGAGGTAAGCAGCGGCACTGCATCTGAACACGACAACCAGAGTGAGCATCAACAAGAAGGGAGTGTCTGAGCCAGAAAGGTCCATCACCCAGACTTTGCTTGGATCTTTGAAGCCAAGTGCCTGGGCAATCGAGTGATAGGTGTTGAAGCAGGCATGAGCGTTTGACACTATGGCAACGACAATTGCTGCACCCTCCATCTCACGTGTGCCCATCAAGCCGGAACCCGACAATACGACTGCTGCGAGTAACACTGGCAACTCTTCGCTGCCACACGCGACTTGGATGGCGAGCTACCACCGCCTCATACTGATGCATCCTGCGTCAGGAACTCGACATCCTCCACGTGCATCTGCAGGAGAGCCAACCCACAAAAGAAGGCAAAGATAACCAAAACGCGCCTGCAAGGACGACCGCAGCTGCTCGCGGTGAGTATAGATGTGTTCAGGAATCCCTTCTCCACCTGAGGATCAGCGAACGAGATCGTCCAACCGTCGATCTCGCCGTCAGGCCCCAGCCTCTTCGGCGCCACCTGCGCGAACCCATCCTGCAGCCTGCGGCCGATGCCCTGCAAGAGCGCCAGGCTCGTGAGCGGGGCCACCTGGTGCCTCGGCAGTGGCGCCTGCTCGGAGCAAAAGCGCCCCTTCGAAGGCTGGTCCCCTCCGTGAGCCGGTGGCTGCGGAGGCAATATTGGGCCCCGTGTGCGGGGTCTTTCACTCAACTAGGGGCATGTTCCGGGTATCTCGGGGCGCCTTGCCATGGGGCGATCTCGGTCTGCCTTGGGGGCCATCTTGCCGCACTGGGAAGAGGGGCTTGGAGTCCAAAATGGAGGGTCTCGGGGTCCCAAATGGTAGGCAAGGTAATTGCCAGGGGGGGCCTGGGCCCAGTCCCTTTTTTATACATAGTCCGATATATATATATATATATATATACATATATATATATATGTGCGCATATACATATACACACATATGTGTGTATGTGTGTATGTATGTATACATGTATAAATGTATATACGTATGTGTGGATGCATGCATGTATGTATGAATGCATGTATGTATGAGTGTGTATGTATGTATGGATCGATGTGTGTATGCATGTACCCAAATATGTATGTGTGTATCAGGGTATACAAGTGTGTGTGTGTATGGATGTATGTATGTGTGTATGTATGTATGTGCACATGTATGTGTGTGCACATGTATGTGTGTATTTGTATGTGTATGTGTATGTGTATGTGCATGTGTATGTGGATGTGGGGGTGTATGTGTGCATGTGGATTCATGTGTATGTGTATGAGTGTGTGTCTTCGTCTGTGTAGGCATGTGTGTACGTATGTAACCATGTATGCATGCATGTGTGCATGTATGTGTATGCGTGTATGTCCATCTGCCTGTCTGTCCGTATGTATGCATGCATGTGTGCATGTATATATGCATGTATGTATCGATGGATGGATGCATATATGCATGTATACATGCGAATATGTATGTATGTATGTATGTATGTATGTATGTATGTATGTATGTATATGTATATATATATGTATATATATATATACATGTGTGTATGTACGTTTGTTGGTGTGCATGCATGCCTGCATGCATGCATGCATACATACATGCATACAAGTATATGTGTGTGCATGCATGTATGCATGTTTGTGTGCATGTATGTATGGATGTAGGTCAGTTGATTGGTAGGTAGGTAAGTAAGGAGGGAATTAGGTAGGTAGGTAGGTCGATGTGTTTTTACTTATCTATGTGCATATACATATATATGTATACACGTGTGAAGGTTCATACTTACCTACATGCATGCATGCACCAGATATGCATGAGCATGGACACATGCATACAAGTGTTCATAGACATAAACATTGATGTGTATATGTGGCCCCACCCACCCAAGGCTCATCAACCTGTTTCTCATCTCACCTCCTGGGCGGATGTAAGCCTGGGTGGTGTTAGCGTGTTCCAGCTTTGCGCCGGCGACCGTTAGAGAGCGTTCACACACGCATAGTGTGCAAGTATCTGTGTAGTGCTCAACGCTGCTATCCAACAACCCCACTGATGAAAAGCATCGTAAAATCCAACTAGCTAGTGTTTCCCATTCTCTGGCGCCGAACCGCCAGCAGCATCGAAGACTGCCTGGCGCCAAAGAATTGGACCAAGTTGGGAAACAATTATGTGACAGCACTTTCCACCTGCCGCAGCGACTTGTGCAGCATCGAAGGGAGGGTTCGGCGCCAGAGCCAGAAGCATAACCAGAACCAGAAGCAACACCAGAACCAGCCCAGAAGCAGCCTAAAATACGGATTCCTTAATACGGATTCTGTAGCAAGGAATCCGTACTATCAATATCTTTAGTGGAAGATCCGTTGCAACACATCCTTGAATCAGGGTTCCTTGGCAAGTATGCCTTTCGTAAGGATTCCTTAATAACGATGCCTTTCGCAAGGTTTCCTTAGTAAGGACGCCTTTCGCATGGAATCCCACGTAAAGAATATTTAGTAGCGTTCCGCTGAGAACTGATTCTTGAACAAGGGTTAATTCAGCAAGGCTTCCGCAGTAATGATGCAATGAATGAGCATGTGTCAATAAGGGGTGCCTTGCGTAAAGACTGCCGCAAAAAGAGTTCTGAAGACAGGAGTCCTTTTTTCCCCAATCAGAGCTTGCCTCTGTAGGGGTCCTAGCGGATTCATATGAGTAGGTTAGGCTCGTCGCCGATTTTCGCGGCACGCCCGGGTGCCCGGGTGCCCGGGGGTGCCCGGGTGCCCGGGGGTGCCCGGGGGTGCCCGGGTGCCCGGGTGCCCGCGGGTGCCCGGGCGTGCCTGGGGGTGCCCCAGAGGTTGCATGCATCCCAAATCGGGATGCATGCATTAGCGCGTGTTGTACGCATCCCAAATCCATCACAAAGTTAGCTTCGCATCCCGTTCGCCAACATGATGTTGATGAAGCTAAACTTATGTTCAAACAATGTGAGGATGTATCAAGCGAGAGCTAGAATTGTACACTCTGCACGAGCAGCGTGGCGTTGTTGGTGTCGCAGTGCGTGATCATTACTACATGCTATGCGATGATTGCGGCGATTGCGAAATTTGCGCTGATGATGCAGATGGTCAGGGCGAGGCGCGGAGAAGAAGGAGGAATAGTGCTTTCCAATTGGACCCATCGATCATAGCGCGGGCGTTACTTTCAGTCGGTGCAGCACCGCGGTGCGATTCTGTGAGCCCAATGATTCGAAACGAACCGTAGGCTAGAACACTACGTTACACACAGCACGTCACGTATAGCTCGTGATCATTATAGCCACGTACAATACTCGTGAACAAAAACAATTAGGACGCGTTTTACCTTGGCAGGCCAAGGATATCGACAGGCGGAGGAGGAGGAGGAGGAGGAGGAGAGAGGCGAAACAGAGAAACTCTTGCGCGCCAAACCAGCTGCACACAGGAACCAAGCGTGCCAAAGGGCCCTTCCTCGTGTTGTTCCTCCTCTCCTCCTCCTTTTCCTTCTCCTCCACTCCACCGTCTCCTCCTTTTCCTCTCTCTCCCCCTTTTCATCCTCCTCCTCCTCCTCCTCCTCCTCCTCCTCCTCCTCCTCCTCCTCCTCCTCCTCCTCCTCGCACTCCTCCTCGCACTCCTCCTTCTCCTCCCTCCTCATGTCGCCCCTCACCTCCTCCTTGTTTCCATCTCGCACATCCATGTCGACACTCCCGTGCTACGTTCGTGGTCATCAGACTCCTCCTCCTCCTCCTCCCTCCTCCTCTTCCTCCTCCTCCTCCTGTTCCTCCTCCCCTCTTCCTCCTCCTCCTCTCCTCCCTCCTCCTCCTCCCTCCTCCTCCTCCTCCCCATCCCTCCCTCTCTCCCTCCCTATCTCCCTCCCTCCTCCCTCCCTCCTCCTTCACCCCCGTCCCCCTCCCTCCTCCCTTCCTCCCTCCCTCCCCTTCCTTCCTTCCTCCCTTCCTCCTTCCTCCCTTCCTCCCTTCTCCTTTCCTCCCTCCTCCCTCCCCCCTCCCTCCTCCATCCTCCTCTTCATCATCCGTTTTCCTCTCCTCCTCCTCCTCCTCCTCCTCCTCCTCCTCTCCTCCTCCTCCTCCTCCTCCTCCTCCTCCCTCCTCCTCCTCCTCCTCCTGAGCCCCCTGGCTGCTTGCGTTGCTGAGCCGCTGCTGCCCCCCCCCCCCCTCCCCCCCCCCTGCAGCACGAGGGGGAGCGGGAAGGGAAAGAGAAGGCGAGTGAGGAAGGCTGGAGGTGGAGGGGGAAGGATGAGGAGGAGGAGGAGGAGGAGGAGGAGGAGGAGGAGGAGGAGGAGGAGGAGGAGGCGGAGGAGAAAGAGCGCGAGGAGACGGATGAAGGCGAGAAAGGAAGATGACATCGAGTTGACGTCATCGCCAACGTCACCGCAGCGACACTGGCGATGACACCGGCGTCGGCCTCGAGCTGGAACCGACGAGAACCGCCCCCCCGTGGAGCTGATCCGCAACATTCGGTGGGAGGGGATTCGTTTAGTGAGCTTTCTTCGCTGCCCTCGTGCAGCTTGCTTCTAAAGAGGGCACGCCATGCAGCAGAACAGCAGCGCGGACATTGCACTCCGAATTGAAACCTGTACTCGCCAAGGCTATCCATTATTGCCAACTTTCACGATGTCGTACTCTGCGCATGCGATGTTCATCTTTCCACCCTCCTCCAGTGCGCTTCGATAGTATGTGCGACCACATCCTCCTTCTCCTTCTCCTCCTCCTCACCTTCCCCCTACTCTTGCTGTCCTCGTTTCTCTCATACTCGTCCTCCCCCCAGCCGTTGTTATCTCAAAATCACTGGATGGCGGTGGCTGCGGCCGCCTCGTTGCTCAAGCACGAGATCGCGGCCGACGCCACGAGCTGGCAAAATTGTTCGGGGTACGCTTGAGACTTCTTGAGCGAACCCTTCTGGCCGTTAAACCAATGGCCAGCATACCAGCTTGCGGCTGACGACGACAACTTCTGCCGCTTGACGGCCAGCTGCTCGGCGTCGGGTGTTCTCTCCCGCGCCTGTTGTTTTGTCCTGGCAAGCCTATCACATTCGCTGACCCGCATGGTACCCCAGAGCCCCAGAGGTTCGACAGACGAGGCTCCCAGCGCACCAGAGCATGAAACAATGCGGACAGCTTTGGTTTGCGACAGAGCGGACCTGACATGGTCAACAAAAAACAAGTTGCTGTTCAACGGCTGCTCAATAACGAATGCCACGTCACGCGGTTCCGCGATGGTGAGCATCACAGACCTCGGGCTACGAAACTTGAGGAGGCGCGCGTTCCCCCCCCCCCCCGCCTCCTAGGACCAACGCAGAACGAGGTTATCAAATGTCGGGGCCCCTCCCGCGTTGACCATTCATTAAACGCAAACCGTGCTTCTCCCGCCCGCGTGCTGCAGAGATGCCATGGGGCAGCGAGCGGTCGAGAGCGCGGCTCGAATTTAATGTTGGCCGACGTTGTTGCCGTTTCGTCGTCATCTCTATAGTTCGGGTGCTCTCTTCCTCTCAACTATCTGTCTGTGCGGGTCTTTATCGTTCTATGTCTCTCTCTCGCTCTCTCTCTCTCTCTCTCTCTCTCTCTCTCTCTCTCTCTCTCTCTCCGTCGCTCGCTCTCCCTATCTCCGTCTCTCTCTCTCTCTCTCTCTCGCTCTCGTTCTCTCTCCCTCTCTCTCTCTCTCTCTCTCTCTCTCTCTCTGGTTGACCCGCTCCACTCTACGCCATGCCA